GGGGAGGTGGGATTGTGGGATTCCAGCAGTTGCATCCCAAAGTTTGAAATGGGAGGTTTCTTCTGGACCTTCCCCGACTTGCCCCGGGAAGCGGATTTGGAGTAGCGAGCGTGCTGGCCGGGGGTCTGGCGCGGAGGGAACAGCAGGGGCTGGAGAAGCCTTGCTCGGAATTCGCTTGTTGTAAGCGGTTCCCGTGTCTCGGTCGGGATATCCAGAGTCCGGCACGCAGTTGCATCCCAAAGTTTGAAATGGGAGGTTTCTTCTGGACCTTCCCCGACTTGCCCCGGGAAGCGGATTTGGAGTAGCGAGCGTGCTGGCCGGGGGTCTGGCGCGGAGGGAACAGCAGGGGCTGGAGAAGCCTTGCTCGGAATTCGCTTGTTGTAAGCGGTTCCCGTGTCTCGGTCGGGATATCCAGAGTCCGGCACCTGGAAGCGTAGCTTGCGTAAAGTCCGTCTCCTCCAAGGATGGGTCTTTGGGGTGCAAGGTCAGTAACTTGCTGATGCTTTTGGCTTCCAGCGATGGTGATCGTTCCCACCCGGGAGCTAGCCCTGCAGGTCAGCCAGATCTGTATCCAGGTCAGCAAACACATGGGAGGTGCCAAGGTGATGGCAACGACGGGAGGAACCAATCTGCGCGATGACATCATGAGGCTGGATGATACAGGTCAGAGCGCTTTTCCCGCGCCGTGGTTGCCATTCGTCGAATTCCTGCTTCCCTCTCGCCGAGCGCGTCGGGCCCCGTGCGCTGCCCTGCGTCTCCCGAACTGTTGGCGTGAGGCCTGGCCGTGGCTTTGGTGGCCTTAGGACCTTTCTCCTGCTTTTCTGACCCTGCAGTGCACGTGGTGATAGCCACCCCCGGGAGGATTCTCGATCTCATCAAGAAGGGCGTAGCAAAAGTCGAGCACGTCCAGATGATCGTGTTGGATGAGGCAAGTCGCTCGCCTTGCGGGGTTTGGAAGGGGGAGGGCGGATGGCGCGGTGTCTCGGCGGGTCTCCTCGCTGCGCGCCGCCCCGGGGCGCGCTTTGCTCAGGGATGCCGCGAGGTTACAGCTCCTCCGTCGCTGGGGATTTGCGAGAGGGGATTTTGGCAGAATCCACAGTAAAAAAGGGATTAAGCTCCCTGTTTGGCATGAACCCTGCTCCAGCAGCTAAATCTTCCGGAGAGTGCTCCGAAGGGGACGATCCCATCGCAAGGGCAGGGAGAAAGGCTCCTTGGGGTTTGCTCTGGTTTGCCCCGGGGTGGGGCAGGACCGGAAGCATGTCCCGCTGAACTTCCTTCTGTTTCCGCTGTCGTTGCAGGCAGATAAGCTGCTGTCTCAGGATTTCGTCCAGATAATGGAAGACATTATTCTCACGCTGCCGAAAAACCGGCAGATTCTGCTCTACTCGGCCACTTTCCCCCTGAGCGTTCAGAAGTTCATGGTGAGCGTGGGTGTGGCGGGTGCTCGTGTTCGGTGCGCCCGGGCTTGCGCCCGTTTCGTCCGGCTCACCCCAAATCTGGGGCCGTTTGGGATTTACCAGTCATCCTTTGGGAACGAGTCTGCTCCATGTGCGCAGCACGGAGAGCGAGTGGCTGGAGCGCGTCCGCGGAATGCGCCGGAGGGCGGGAAGCGCTGAGGTGCTGCGCGTGTAGATGCGCCCGCTTTATCCTTTCCGTTGTTTTTCCAGAATTCCCATTTGCAGAAGCCCTACGAGATTAACCTGATGGAGGAGCTGACCCTGAAGGGAGTTACCCAGTACTATGCCTACGTCACGGAGCGTCAGAAAGTACACTGCCTCAACACGCTCTTCTCCAGGGTGAGTGCCAGGGTCGGTCGAGACCTACGGGAGCCTTTTTTTCCTTTGGGAACCAGGAATGGGGCGGAGGGTGGCGAAGACGGTGTGTCGGCTGCGTCCTTGTCAAAACGTGACGGTCCTGCCTGGAAGTC